GCTGCAAACCAAGTGGAAGAGCAGGGCGATTTTCATAGGAAGTGAGGGCTGGGAAAATAAGGGCCAGTTGTGATTCCCGACCTTCAGTGGTAGATCCAATTTCTCCAGAATGACCCAGAAAACATAAGTGTGATATGGAGAGGAGTAAAATTGTGAAAAATAACAAAACAAATGTAGTAACTTACCCTTAGGTAAGAGCATTGCGATATCATCGGCGAGGAGTAGAGGTGGGTGGTTTCGGTGTTCCAAATGGTCTTTGCTGTGGCCCGTTGTTTGGTGGGATGTCCGTCGTCTGTAGTCCTGTTGATTGAAGATAGCAAGGAAGCCGAGGCGGTGTTCTTTACTTGCCTTGCAGCCCACAACGGGCCACAGCAAAGACCATTTGGAACACCGAAACCACCCACCTCTACTCCTCGCCGATGATATCGCAATGCTCTTACCTAAGGGTAAGTTACTACATTTGTTTTGTTATTTTTCACACAATTTTACTCATCTCCATATCACACATTATGTTTTGTGTCATTCTGGAGAAATTGGATCTACCACTGAAGGTCGGGAATCACAACTGGCCCTTATTTTCCTAGCCCTCACTTCCTATGAAAATCGCCCTGCTCTTCCACTTGGTTTGCAGCGCTTCTCCCCTCCCTTTTTCTGTTGGATCCAGAGAAGTTGCAGCCCCCCTGTGCATGGACGAGCAGCAGAGGATCGGTACATGTCAGTAGTACCAATCCTCTGTGCAGGACAAACACTGGAGCGATCGTCTGATCACTCCAGTGTTTGTAAATAACTGGGGACATAGTACTGTGTCCCCAGTTATAAATGAATGGAGGTGATTTACATCACCTCCTCTTCATTCATAAGTTTCTCAATGGGGAGAAGCACTCTGTACAGAGGCCCCTCCCCATTCAGAAAGAGCTTGATAGTAAAATATTTTCTGAATGGGAAGCCTCTGTACTTTCCATTAATTTAGAATAGAGGCTGCAGAAAAAGAGGACTTTGTGTCCTCAATTTCTTTTTCTATTTTAAAAGGGAAATATCAGGGGGCTTTTTAGACCCCTAATATTTCCCGGAAGCCCCCCCCCCCCCCCATGAAAAAAAAATTATGAAAATTTAATAAAAAACAGTAAAAAATAAATTAAAAATGTTTTTTTGCTTGCCTCAGGCGCAAAAGGAGCTGGCTACGGCTATGCTACCGTGGTGCTCGTGCAGCTGCCGGCTGAATGTGTCAGACGCTGCAGATGGAAAGGTGCAGGACACCCCATGTGCAACGTCGGCCACACGAGCACCACGAGAGGACAGGACGCCGGGACCTGGAATGTAAGCAGGCCGACTCCCTGCGTTCCGGTGCGGGAGGGGGTGTGGAGCTGTATTGAAGTCAATGGCATCGCCCACAGTGCTATCGCCCGCACTCGGAACGCAGGCACATTAGTGCCTGCATTCCGGTCCAGTGCGATCTGCAAAAATAGTGCTTGCAGCATTTTTGTGGATCGCACTGGACTGGAACACAGGCACTAATGCAGGCGATCGCACTGTGGGCGAGGGGCCTGCCTGCGCAGCCTACGCCCCTGAATGCAGGTGTTTTTTCGTTGGTAGATCTCAATGAGCTCGTCATTTGAAAAGTAGATCTCCAGACGAAAAATAGTGGGCGCCCCTGACTTACAAGTTCCAAGATGACTCTGGAAGCAGTGCAACGGTGCTTCAGGGACTGAAATAGGTTCCTACAAACCTAAAATCCATACGCAATGGCAGACATTGGATGGAATAGTGTAGGCGCACTGCCACTGGACTATAGCAGTGGAAATTATCCTAAAATTATTTCATTTATACCAGGAAAAGACGTATCATCAATACTCTATTTGATAATCTCATTAGCATTCTAGAATTCATAATTTCCTAAATGATTTCACTTTCAGACATCTAGGTTTGATGGAAATCAGAAAACTACCTTCCAGACTGCAGTGCCCCATGTAAAGCTTGAAGGTAGAACGGTCTGGAGCCAATTTACAGGTTTCAGGCTAGGTGCCTTGGTTCCAGCAAAGGATACGGTTAATGCAACAGCACAGAAGACATTTTTGGCAAGTGTGAGCTTCCCAAATTGTGTAAACAAATTTTGAGAAGGCCTGCTTTTCGCACCATAACTGCACAAAGCTAGGTCCATGAAGACCGGGTTCAAAGAGATTTGTGGACGAAAAAGTGGCTTCCACAGAACACCGACCTCAAGCCTACTGAATGCCCCTGGGATTATTATTATACAGGAATTATATAGCGCCAACAGTCGCGCAGCGGTTTCACTATAAGGAAGACATTACAATCACAATACAAATCAAGACAAGATGGTAAGGAGGGCTCCGCCCGTGAGGGCTTACAATCTAAAAAGGGAGGGGGAAGTGATACATGAGGAAGCTGTGTGAGGATGAATTGTTTGAGAACGTGATGGTTGAGCAGTTAAGTTGAGGTGGGATAGGCTTCCCTGAAGAGATGTCTTTAGGGGATGAATGGAATCAATGGCAAACCGGGTCTATTCCCATCCAGCATCAGATTTCAAATGCTCTTGCTGAAAGGGCACACATTGACAGACCCCAAACCCTTTACACACAACAAATCCATATAATGCCCATGATTTAGCAATGAGATCTCCCAAACTCATGTGTAATGAACATGTGTTCACAAATGTTTTGCCACAGTATATATATGATTTCAGTGTGGAAAATAGTTTCATGCAAGTGATTTGTTAGCTTCAATACTTGAGCCACTGACTTAGCAAATCTTAGATTTACTTGCGTCATCACTACAAGCGCCTGGGTTAGCGACTAACGTTACTAAAGCTAGTCATTTTAGGGCCAGCAAAGGCAGCCATATATTAAGACAGGTACAATTTCACAAGTCAGATTGTGCTAGTGCCAGCACTGAGCCAATTTGGGCACTACTGTATAGCACAATTGTCACCCTAACTTACTTCAGATTGGAATATTTTGCTGGCACCCTTTGTTGTACCAAAAATACATATTACAGCATGATGGAAGTACAGAAAGGGGCAATGTTTCAGAAACGCATGACTTGACATAAGTATTGAACTTCAGACTTATTTTTCCTCAATGGGATCTCCACAATGCCATTAACTGGTTGCTATGGACCATGGTACAAACATGACCAGTATAGTGTAAAATATAGATTACTTTACATGTTTCAGGCAAAAAAAAAAAGCTGAACTAGGTGTTTAGGAAATGCTGCTAAAGGGAGATGGACAGCATTAGTGTAGGTCATCACAAAAGGCTGAGTGGGGACCCAGAGCTTCAGAAAGCCAACTTCCTTGCTGAACAATGTTGTGGGGGGACACACTTTAAGCCAAATCAGTTTACACATTTTCAGTGTGAAACCAAGCCAGTTTAATACAATTTAATGCACTTAACAGTTTGGCTGGTGCTCTGCTTTAAATGCATCAGCACTTCTGCTGGACAGCAAGACAGTTCGTAATGCTTCACCATTTTGCACACATTCAGATGTCATTTGGACACAAGTTAAACCTGAACATATTGATGCTCCAGGAAGCCCTTTGCAAATTTGTAGGATTTGAAATGGATTCATTCATTTTTAATTATAAAAGGAAATTTAGAACACAAGCAACTTCAAAATTATATCAGGACTTAAAAGCACCCTCCTAGGTAGACCTGACTTGCCTTGATCATATAGCCAAAACATGACATATTTTGCATCATACTGGCACATTAAATCATAACCCTGCAATTTTACTCTTCCCACTTAGAGTCCCTTTCAAGAATAGCCTTCTTGGCCTGAACAGGCTACGGCCTGTTCAAAGCACAAGAGCTACACAAGCTGAGTCACATTCATAGCTGCACAACAGCAGTTTATTCTGGTCTGTTAAGACAGCAGGAAAATTATAAACTCAACACTTTAAAATCTTTAATGCTTTATTTTAATACACACATTGACCTTTGACACCTCCCCACCTGCCTTTAAGTCAATTTACAATACCACAAAAAAAAATTTTCAGAACAGAAAGTTTAGTAAATATTGCACAATAACCTGGAGCTTGCAAGACCCTAAAGCCAGCAATAGACAGCGGTTTCCAAGGCAACTACATCACCTACATCAACAACCCAATCTGATTTTGGCTCAAACTACCCAAGCCAATTGCACCATATCAAACTGGGATGGCCAGGTGCAGTCCTTACAATGCAGATTTCAAAGCTGAAGCATTATTGCAGAGCACAATCACTAGCAATCTAAAAATGATCAAACCTTTGCTCAATAACTGCACTAATACATTAAATATGAAATCCTGTGAACAAATTTGTGACTGTTGCCTAAAGTAAAACTAGTTTAAAAACCTCTAGATCGATCCGAATTATGCACATCAAACTTGCCTCTGATGTCCCAGTCTAGAGGTTTGGGAAGTACAGAATACACTCAGCCCCACAGAAGTATTACATTTTGTGGACAACTGACTCCCTACAATTCACAAGGCC